CATGGATGTTGGCTGAAAGCAGAGAATACCAAAGGTACTTACCTATGTTTAATTAACTATGAAAAGTCTTTAGACTGTTCGTCACAGCAAACTAGGGATAACATTGCAAAGAATGGGAATTCCAGAATACTTAAGTATGCTCCTGCAGAACCTGTACGTAGACCATTTGTTGGAATAGAACAAGGGGTTACTGAATGGTTTAAGAGTCAGGAAATGCATGTGCTAGGGTTCTTTTAACCATTCAAATTCAAGCTACAAAGTCCTGGTGTGATGCTGCAGGTCAAGCACTTGACTGCTAACTGAAGATCAGCAGTTCAAACCCACAAGCCACTCCTAAGAAAGCCTATACAGGGTCAAGTCAGAACTGACTCCAAGGCACTTAACAACAACATTCAATCGACATGCTGAGTAAATAACCCAAGATACTGGATTATATGAAGAAAACAGTGGCATCAGAATTAGAGGAACTCATTAACAGCCTACGTAATGAAGATGCTACCACCTTGCTTGCTGGAAGTAAAGAGGACTCTACCCAATGATGAAGATCAAAGACAACATCCTTTTGTATAAAGAAAACAAGAACCGTAACAACTAGACCAAGCAACATCATGATAAATGGAGAAAAGATTGACGTTAAAGATTTCGTTTTACTTTGATTCGCAATCAACACCCAAGATGTTGTTAGGTGCCATTGAATCAGTTCTGACTCACAGTGACCTTATGTACAACAGAATGGAAAACGCTGTCTGATCCTGCGCTAGCCTCACAAGTTTTGTTACTCTGCTGCCATTGTGCAAATTTAGCTCATTGGTCTTCCTCTTGTTCACTGACCTCCTACTTTACCGAGCATAGTGTTCTTCTTCAGGGACTGGGAGCTCCTATTATGTCTGAAGTATGAGAGACAAAGATGTTCTGGCTTCTAAGAAACAGTCTAAGGAGCTCTGGTAGCGTAGTGGTTATGAATCAGGCTGCTAATCTCACGATCAGCAGTTCGAAACCACCAGCTATTCCATGGGAGAAAGATGAGGCTTTCTGCGCCCTTAAAGATTTATAGCCTCAGAAACACTATGCAGGGTCACTATGAGTCGGAACCGATTCCATGGCACATAACAACAACAACAACAACAAACGGAACATTCTGGCTGTGCTTCTTCCAACATACATTTATTTGTTCTTCTGGCAGTCCATGGTACTTTCAGTATTTTTCTCTAATACCATAACGTAAATGTATCCATTTTTATAGTCTTCATTATTCAACTTTCACATACATACAAATACTGAAAATACCATGGCTTGAGTAAGGCACACTTTAGTATTCAAACTGACATCTTTGCTCTTGAACACTTAAAGGTCTTTATGTAATATGTAATGTAATATGTCCTTAGATTTCTTGACTTTTGTTTCCATGAGTATTGATAGTGGAGATCCAAGAAAACTGAAATTTTGGAAAACTTTAATTTTTTCCATTTATCTTGATGTTTATTGGTCCAGTGGTGAGGATTTTTGCTTTACATTGAGGTGCAACCAAAACTGAAAGCTGTCGTCTTTGATCTTAATCAATAAGTGCTTTAAGTCCTCTTAGCTTTCAGAAAGCTAGGATGTGTTACCTGCATATCACAATTTGTTAATGTGTCCTCCTCCAATCCTGATCCCATGGTCTTCTTGATATAATCCAGTTTTTCAGATTGTTTGAACAGGTATAGTAAAATAAAACAACCCTGATTTTAAACCACTCATTTTCCCCTTTTTCTGTTTGAATGACTGCTTATAGGTCTATGTACACGTTCCTCATAAGCACAATTACAGTGTTCTGGAATACCCATTCTTTGCAATGTTATCCATAGTTTGTCATGATCCCTGATCCAAAGCCCTTGCATAGTCAATCAAGCACAGGGATGTATCTTTCTGGTATCCTCTACTTTTAGCCAAGATCTAGCTGACATCAATGATATGCCACATTCCACATCCTCCTCTGAATCCAGCTTGAACCTCTGGCAGTTCCTTGTCAGTAATGCACATTTATAACCGTTTTTGAATTATCTTTAGCCAGCTTTTACTTGCATATGATACTAATCATGGTGTCTGATGGTTTCTGCGTTTTGTTGGGTCACCTCTCGTTAGAATAAGCACACATATGGATCTCTTTCATCAGTTGGCAAATTTCTTGGCATAGCTGAGTGAGTACCTCCAGTGCTGCAATTTGTTCACAGGTTTCAGTATGTATTCCATCAATTCCCAGAGCTTTGTTGTCAATGCCTTCGGTACACCTTGGACTTCTTCCTTCAGTACCATTAGCTCTTAATCACATGGACAACGACCATTTCTTTTTGGTATAGTTAACTCTGCATATTCCTTCCACTTTCTTGGATGCTTTCTGCATCAATATTTTATCCACGGAATTCTTCAATATTGCAAATTGAGGCCTGAATTTTTTCTTCAGTTCTTTCAGCTTGAGAAATGGTTTTCTAACTCCAGGACTGTGCACATTTCAATACCTGACTTTATCTTTTCAAGCTGCCCTTTGTAATTTTGCTTAGCTCTTTGATCTTCTCATTTATTCCATTTGTTTTAGCATGTCTATGCTAGAAAGCAAATTCCAGATTCTCTTCTGACATCCATTTTGGTCTCTTCCTTTTCTTGTCTTCCTTCCTGTTTGATGTTCTTGATGTCATCCCACAGCTCATCTGGTCTTCGGTCATTAGTGTCTAATGCGTCAGATCTATGTTCTTTATATAGTCTTTAAACTCTAATGGGATATGCTCAAGGTCAGATTTTGGCTGTCATGGACTTACTTTAATTTTCTTCAGCCTGAACTTGCATAAAAGCAATTGGTGGTCTGTTTGTCTACACTTGGTCTTGTTTTGACTGACACAGAGCTTTTCCACTGTCACTTCTCACAGATGTAATCTGATTTCTGTATATTCCATCTAGTGAGGTGCATGTACATAATCATTATTTATGTTGTTTAAAAGTCATCAGTTTTACAAAATTCTATCATGCAATGTTCCTATCACCAAGATCATCTATTCCAAACTTCGCATTAAAATCACTAGCAATTATCACTACATCTTGATTTTGTTTTTGATCAATTTTCACACTGAAGAAATTGGTATAATTCTTCAATTTCATAATCACCAGCTTTGATGGTTGGTGTATAAATTTGAATAGTGTTACTAACTTGTCTTCCTTGAAAGCATATCGATAGTATCCTATCACTGACCGTGTCATACTTCAACATGTATCTTGAAATCTTTGTATGAACATTACACCATTAGTCTTTGTCATTCCTACTAAACCATATTGTCAGATTCCAAATGTCCACCAGTCCATAATGCCTAGGATGTCAATCTTTATGCATTCCATTTCATTTTTGACAACTTGCATTTTTTTTAGATTCATGCTTCATACACTCCATGTTGATTATGAATAGAGGTTTCAGGCTGTTTCTCATTCTTAGTTGTGTCCCAACAGCAAATGAAGACCCAGCAAGTTTTACTCTATTTGCAACAAGGTCAACTCTGAGGACAGTTCTTCACCAGTTGTATTGAGTGCTTTCCAAGCTGAAGGACTCATGTTCCAGCACTGTATCTGACAATATTCTGATGCTATTCGTAAGGCTTTCATCTTCTGGTACCATATTTGACAAGGTTCCTTTGCCATTCATAAGGTTTTCAGTGACTAAACATTCCTAAGTAGGCCATCTCTCCTACTTCCTAGTTGGTCTTATTGTGGAAGCTCAGCTGACAACTCTACCATGGGTGATCCTGCAAGTATTTAAAGTATCAGTAACACTTAAGCCATCATAGTACAAAAATCTAACAAATGGTGGCCCATGGAAGTAGCACTAAAGAAATGAAATATCATGTATTGGGCAAATCTGTTGCAGAAGACCTCTTGGATGTCAACAAGACAACGTCTCACCTCTCTGGACTTGTTGACAGTTCCTAGAGGACATCTTGCTTGGTAGAGGATCAGTGAAAAAGAGGAAGACCTAAGACAGCATTACATGGGGGCTCTGACAACGGGCCCAAGCACAGCAATGATTGTGAGGACAGTATAAGACCGAGCACTGTTTTGTTTGGTTGTACGCAGGGTTTCTGAGTCAGAACTAACTTGATGGCAACTAATAACAGAATAGGGTTATAAGTTTTTAAAAAGTTGTTGGCCCAGGATCGGGCAGTGTTTCATTCTGCTGTGCATAATGTTGTTATGGGTCGGTATCGACTCGAATGTACCTAACAACAACTTCTGATGTCAGAACAGGCTATTTCAGATAAACCATCCTGAATAAAATAATTATGAACCCTGAACAAAAATATTAAAGAATCTGTTTGAAGGCATTGAAACGTAACCGAAACCAGAGGACATGCGACTCACCAAGAGAAAAAAGGGAAGAAGGCAAATCTCCACAAACTTATCTACAGATACAGCATTATAATCAAAATCCCAAGAAGCTTTTTCTGTAGAAATGGACTAGCAGTCATTATAAAGCTGAAGGGCTCAGACTATCTGACTTTGAAACATTTCATTAACAAAAAGTGAGGAATACATACTAGTCTTATCCACACAGGGGTCAAGAGTGAGTTACTGCTCACCATATAAGTTGTAGCTCATAGGTTATATAACCTGCTATTGTTTGGTTTGGAAAGTTGAGAGCCAAGCTTCTTAGAACAGTGACGTTTAAAAGAAACTTCTTGAGAGGAAGGCCCTTGAGGAAACTGGAGAGCTATAAGACACGTACTTACAACCTGTCCTCTGGCTGACTAGGTGATGTGACAATGTTTCACACCAGTAATGTTTGGGGATGAGCTGAGTGCATCACATACAAACATTTACGTATGATGTTCATTAGTTTAGTTATTTTAGACAAATTAAATAAAATCACCAAAAACTATGGATCCAAGACTTAAAATTTAAGGCTTTATTTTTCTTAAATGACATTTTCTAAAGTCACTATTTACGTACACACAAGAAAACGATAAAATAGTAACATGAATGGATCAATGATGAAAGAGCCGAAGACTGGTGTGAATGAGGATTATCCCCAGTTCATTGCATGCCTCAATCACAACCTTATCCGCAGCAGAACCGGAAGGAGCAGCAATGTACGCCACACCACTCTGGGGAAAAAAGGATAGGGATTTTAAACACACAGTATTATGTACCAACATGGAAAACTCTCATTTTTTGCTCTCAAATTATAATCAAAACCCCACTTGATTATAACAATGATTCACACGGAAGACTAATTCACTGGTCCCCAAAAGAAAGATAAAAACAAGAGTTGGGCAATCCACATGTCAGCGAATTCATTGATAATCTTCATCACATTGCCACAGCTTGGATATAACACACAGAAACTTAAAACCAGACAAGCAATTTCTGAAACAGTTTCTACACAGAGGTCAGTTCCATGTAAATTACACTTCAATCTCAGACTTACCCTTTTAGCTCTGTCTACATTGTCCCTGAAGGGGAAGAAGGCATCAGAACTGACAGAAACTTCACTTAGTTTGTCAACCCAGTCCTTCTTCTCTGCCTCGGTTAGTAACTCAGGGACTTCCTCAAACAGTGCCTTCCATTTCACCAAATCTTCACCCTAAGGGTGGAGGGAAAAGGTTACTGAACACCAGGTGGTCGCAGCTAATGTAGAGCAGTATGCTAGAAAGGAGTTGGGTGTTTTTCCTAGGACCTCATAATTATAAATAATGACTTCTCTTTTACCTCCAAGTTCACAATTCTGGAATCTCTTTCTTTAATGCTTTTAATATTTTCATTAAGGAAGAAAAGTGAGTGGAAATTTATCATATAAAGACTGCATACCCTTTTACTTTCTGTTACCAGTTTACACCAAATATATTTGTTCTTTAACCCTTGCCTACATTAAATATCCTCCTATCAAGCAACTGAATGGAAAACTGCATCCCAAAGGGTTTTCAAAGCAATCTTCTACATTCAAATCTTGGAAACAAAGATAAGGTTTCTAAGGAAATTGTATGTAGGTAAGTTAGTCTGAGGAATGCAGTTTGCATTGTAGACAAACTGAAATATGATTCGCAGTATTCCCATCTCTAAAGGGTATGTTTCTATTGGGGGAGGGGGGGTGACTTTCTGTTTGTGAAGACATACTTCTTTTGTTCACATACAAAGCCCCTTCCAGTACAATCAATAGTGTTTACCTGGACAATAAAGACAAAAATTCAAGGACTCAAAGGAAAACGGAAAAGAAGTTTTAAATAGTTCATTACATACTCCACAGCCTCACTGTGTATGACAGTTACATAAGACTGCTATCCCCGAATGAGCAGCCATCTAGGTTTCACCAACAGGATGTTCACTTGTTCTCCAATCAGCATTTGCTGAGCACTTGTATGCTCAGTCACTGGGCTGTAGATTTTCTATAGGCTATCTACCAGACAGTGGCAATTTTATTACTTCAA